AACATTCGCGAACGCGAACGATCTGGACTTGTTTTATGCTTCTCGTTCGAGAAGGAGAATCAATAGATAATATTTGATACGTTCATGTTCGCGTTCGCGTACGAAGGTGAGTGAATATTTCCGAACCCCGCAAACAATAAAGTCGGAATTTTAATGCTCTCACCCCCCCTAGGGTTGTTCTATATCGAAACAGTATACCCCTATTTTTTATTTTGAAATCAAAAAATATTTAGAGAAGACTCAAAGCGCTCAAAATTTTCCATGTATTTTATATGATAAAGAAACAGCTTTTCGAAGAAATGGTATCGAATTCTTGATAAAATGACAATCCCAGTCTAACAACATGTTAGATTTTTAAACTTTAATGAAAAAATAGTCATTCAAAAACTGAAAACCGTGTTTTCAGCCTAAAATGACAAATCGCGACCTCTAAATGATTTTTAAAAAATCTATAAAAATAGGCAATAATATTTCTCATAAAAAGGAAGGAAATTAGGGGTAGGGTCTTGAAATTTCAAAAAAAAATTCGATGCGCCCCCTAATGTATGTACATATGTAAATTCAAAATTAAATCTTAAATTTCGCCGTCAACGTTATGTACTCGACACTACCCTCAGGGTACTGCGCAGTCGGCGTCGTCCAGGCTTGGCTCTAACGAATGCTAGAATTCGCTCGTAATTCAGAATCATCAATGAGATAATTTTGGTAGTTCGTTATAAGATCGAAAAGTTATTCGGCCCTATTATGGATGTCGACGTCGACGTCGATATTATTTTTTCGTTAAAAAATAGCCCTCGTAAGTCGTATTTTTGCAAAAAGGTGTGCCTCGCAAAACTACTGTGGTTAGCGTAACCGGAGTTGGAATTATGAGGGCTATTTTTTTACCTCGCTTTTATTAGCTTGGGATGTAACTCAAAGAGTGTTTGCATTATTCAATTTTGCGTTCAATTCAACGCAGGGTTGCACGAGAAAAAAGTTGAATTGCTAAATGTTGGCTAGCGACCAACTTTATTGAAAGCGATTGGCTGAAAAGCCGTTCAACCAAAAGTTGAATGCAAAGTTGAACAATGCAAACGCACTTTTATTGCGAATGTTTTAATTTTTTCATATTTTGATATTTGAAGCCATTCAACTTTTTTTTCGTGCAGCACTGCTTAAGTAATAATGGTGCGCCCAAAAGATGCAGCAATTTCCATTATGAAGTACGAATGGGAACTGCTTTAAATTTCCATTTCTAAGTTACCTGATTACATCACGAATGAAAATTCCAACGATTGATTTCGCGTGTCATTCTATTCGTTGTAATAGTTTTAAAACCAATTGAATTTAAGACTAAAAAGATGAAAATAAAATTATAGTTTAAAAAACTAAAAAACTCGCTTTTATTACAATGTGAACTAAAAGGTAAAAAATAATTTATAGAAATACAGATTTCGTTTAAGAGGAATAGGAAGTTTCCTAACTTGATTTAATTAAACTTTTAAAACCAACCTAAAATAGGATTAAAGAAATTGACAACAGCTGCATTTTTTGTAAGCGAGCGATAAAAGAACGCTCAACTCGGGTAAAATTTCCTTTTAGCTACTTAAGCAACCCTGCTGGTGGCTGGTAGGAAACATGTGATGAGTTTAACGGGATTTAGATACAAAAACCAATTTAAATGAAAAATTATGCGTGGTATTTGCTTAATATATATACTTATTTATAATATAACTCACGTATTTATGGAAACAAAAATTTCCCCATCCACTTTCCCATTAACAATTCACAATAGAGCAGTTTTTTCATTTACCAACACTACCCTTCAGGTCGCGTATTTTTTAACCGACCTGGCTGAGCTCGGATAAATAACCGAGTTTGTGTTGTTGCTTTGCGTGTATTTCGTCATTTCAGCGAGTGTTCTTTTGTAGCTCGGTTGCAAAAATAATGCACCTAATAAAATTAATTTTACCGGAAAACAAAGCGTGGGGTGCTTCTTAGACTTTATAGTCCTCCTATTGCCAATATTCAATATTACTAAAACGAAACTGAAGAGTTCAAAACAATTGATATCAAGCACTGCGCATGAAAAAATGACATCGACTTCGACGTGGACAACCATAAAGAGCCGATTACACTGTGATCGTTTTTTTTCAAACATTTTCAAAGACATGGCCGGAGAAGACGGTTTCACCCTATTTCGGGTATGGGGAATTTATCTGGTTGGCTTTATCGGCATGATTTCTTTGACAAAGTTGTTAAGAACGTCCCAGGCCTTAACTTTTGTGAACGTACTAAACTCCAGAAAGTAGGTCTTAGACACTCTTAAGTGGAAAATCCGAAAGTAGTTTTATACTAATTACACAGGAGAACATAAAAACAAACAATCTTTCTTTTAAAAGACTGTCCATATCAATTGCCATTTCAAAATTGGAAACTTAGATTCTGTTTTAATAAAGGTAGGAAACATGTGATTGATTTCTTCATTTTTCTTTTCGCCATATTTGACCCGCCATGTTTTATCAAAACGCCTTAATTTTATAATTTTTGTATTCGCCATATTGGATACGCCATTTTGAATTTTTAAAGTCTGACTTCAGATTCGTAATTAGTGACCTCAAAAACATTTGACAGTGGTGTCAAATTGTGTCAAAGCGTCTTTGAGCAACTAGTTTTGTCCACCTAGATTTATGTAGATTTCAGCCCACTGTGGAACGCTTTAAATCGAATATAACCATAATGTAGCCATTTTCGGTTTCAGCGGCCCAAAAACATGGAAATAAGCATACATTTTAATTTTGTATGAAAATTCAAAATATGAACCCATTCAGGGTGTAGTAAGGAAGTTATAGGAAGTGAGAGAGGAGTTTAATTAATTTTTATACCCGAGCGCACTTGTGCACAAGGGTATTTTAATTTTCTTCACATAACGGTTGTTTGTAACAGCCAATATGAATCGCGATAGATATAGACAAATTTATACATAAATGATCAGAATGAAAAGAGAAGTCGATTAAGCCATGTCTGTCTGTCCGTCCGTCCGTCCGTCCGTTTACACAATAACTCAAGCAAAAATTGAGATACCTCAACAAAATTGTATGTAGGTTGCCCTTTATATAAGGTAGATTGGTGTTGAAAATGGGCGAAATCGGACTGTAACCACGCCCACCTCCCATATAACGGTAATTTACAGAAACACGAAAATTGCGATAAATCAGTAGTTATTGAAGCTAATTCACTCAACCTCGACGGTTGCAATAATCACTTGGCAAAAAATTTGATTACTACACATTTTTGAACAATGGGCGTGGCTCCACCCACTTATGACCACAAATATGTATCTCGGTAACCGATTCATAAAATTCAACTAAAATTGGTGCAACTGAGGACACTAATTTACTTCAAGTTAATACTTACAACGGTCTCTTAACAATAAACAAGAGGTTCGATCCCTGCTGAAGTCTAGGAAAAAAAGAAGTCTGATGAGAAGATGTGGTGATCTCCGAAATAGTGCTATAACTTCTACCGCTTAGACTTTGTTGCTTTTTCAATTTTTCCTAATAAACAATCGTGGTACAAAGCTCAATAAAAATATTAAAAATAAACAAGACTGTTATAAACTTTTAGGAATTTGGCGTGGCACCGCCCACTTTATGACTACAAAGTTCGATCTCGGTAACCGCTTTATCGATTTCTACCAAACTTGATTCAATGATTTCATTCGGTCAGTATATTATTGAAAACGTTTGAAATCGGGGGAAAACACCCCCGCTTATCATGCAAAGGTAGTTGAGAGAAAGTTGAAACGGCGATATTTGATAACTGCGCCGGGTATATAAAATTCGGTTTCTCCCGACCTTATACTTCTTTACTTGTTTGTAGTCATTTTCGGTTTCAACGGTCCAAGAAAATTGAAATTTCAATCCCTAGGTGTGGTTGTGAGAGGGTGGTAGCGTGAAAATGGTCGGTTGAAGTTATTTTTTGGTCATTAATATTCGTTTTCAGCGACCCCAAAAACCTAGAAATAGCGGGGTCTACCATCTGGTTAACAATATTTTTTGTTTTTATGTTGCTGTGTAATTAATATACAACTGCTTTTGGATTTTCCACCTAAAAGTGCCAAAGACCTCCTTCCTGGAGTTTGATATGTTCACGAAAGTTAAGGCCTGAAACATTCTGAACCACTTTGCCAAAGATATTTTGCCGAAAAAACCCACCAGATAAAAGTTAGAAACCATAAAATAGGATATAGCACCTGAAAAATTTCCATTGGAGGCAAAACTTTCAAAATAAAAAGTTGTATGAAGGCGTGCAGAAAACTTAAAAAACGAATGATGCAGTTCGATTCCCCTTACACGAAATAGGTTGAAACCCTGTTCTCCGGCCATGTCTTTTTTTGCGGCTATAGCAGTGTTATAAGTCCTGACAAAGTGTTATTGGACGATCACTACCAGACTTATCATGAGTTTCATTTTCCCCGAACCGGTTCACTTTTCACTCTTGGTTTCCATGGTTTTACTATGCGCGGATGACAAATTTTCAGGTGATTTTTTTTTTTCAGGCGAAACTCATTGACCCAGCAATTCAATCTGGCAAGATATAAAATATTCCTTCTTTCTGAAAATGTTCTTGAATTTGATCTAAATAGCAAGCACAATTTTTGAAATGATTTGGATTGACTAGTTAAATATATTTTGCCTAGTTTTAATAAATATTTATGTAGATGTTTGTACAAAGAGGTGTGCGTATTTATACATGCATTGGTAGATGAACCAAATCAGATAAGAACAGATTCATTTTTTAAGTGTGTTGCTCGGCACATAAATAGTGCACTTACAAATGTATCCGTTATCAGTTTTGTTATTCGAACCCCTGGGTCAGATTTAGCGTAAACAACTTAAAAAGATTTCAGTGAAGGCATTGTAACAGTAGCAGTCGTTGATCTGAGTTTTCAATATGTAGATGTTTATGTATGTATTTGGTTTAGTAAGTTATATTATTTATTTTTGTTTATTTCAAAGATTCCACCAAACAAAGCGGTTCTCGATTAGTCGGTGATGTTCTTTTCGACGAGGCGAAACAAGTGGCTTCTTACATAACACCAGTGCCTGGCGGTGTTGGACCTATGACTGTAGCAATGCTTATGAAAAACACTGTTAGGTCTGCTTTAGTGGCTGCAGATAAGTTATTGCAAACAACCTGGAACATAGCTCCGCTTACTTTGGCTAAAGTTAGACCCGTTCCTTCGTAAGTGAAGTGTTTTCTTTTAAAAGTCTATTGGTAGAGAATACATACAATGATAAATGATATTTTCAGTGATATTATTATAGCTCGTTCGCAGAAACCCAAACATATCTCCAATTTGGCAAAAGAGATTGGACTGTTAGGCAAAGAAGTATCGCTTTATGGCGATAAAAAAGCGAAAATATCTCTAAGTACCATCGATCGGTTGGAAAGCCGATCCGACGGCTCCTACGTAGTTGTAGCTGGGTAAGGAACAAAAATAATCTCGAGTTTTTCGATAAATAACATATAGTACCTATAAGTATGAACCTAGTTGAGAAAATAAGAAAACATAGGTCTTTTTGTATGGATTGGCCACAGTTGCAAGGCCTTTTAATTGAGCTTCCCTTAGAACAGAGAAAGTTACAACAAATAACAATAAAGGCCGCGCCAGATACAACTTGGTGGTTTGCGTGACATGTATACATACCCAGTGGGAAAATGTAATGTATTGTAATCGAAAAAATAATCAGTAAAACAGCCTTTTTCACATTCGAAAATGCATTATTTTTCCCACAGCGATGCCCTAAGAAAAGTGGGGCATTCAATTTTCCATTACCAGTAATGCAAGAATGAATGTGATTCAATATGAAATTTTACCGACTTGTTGGATACATTCTCATGCTGATTACATAATAAAGAGTAATAGAATCTAGAACTCATATGAAATACACTACTTTATTTATCACGCATGTAATGCATTACTACTTTTCCCACTGGGTAACTTTTCAGGGAAAGCGCAAGAAGCAAAAATGAACGTCCAGGAAACAAGTATGCTCTTTGTTTAAGACTGCAGCTCTCATGAAAAACGAGAAATTCATATAAAACTACGCACAAGAAATAGAGAAGAAATTTTCTTCTTTCAAAATTTCTTAAATCAGTATGCAGCTCTCACAAAAAAATGATCGTATATTTATTTCTCCTTGCTGCTACAGCCATGATTCAATAATACAAGGTTATGTTAATTATGACAGCTCAAATTTGATACCCCTTTATCAAGATTTGTATTTTGGAAGTAGGGAGAAGAAGGTAGTAGAAAAAATTGATTTTTTTTTTTATATATATACGTTCCCCCTAGTTTGATCTCAAATCTTTTCAGCAGGAGTCTACGTATAGATTTTACAACAAACACGACACGGTTTTTGATCGTTCTTACTGCATGTCATAAATTAACATTTTGAGTACACTTTTTAGGAAAATTTTTAATATACTTAACCGCACCTTGTTTATTATCTTTTATAATTTTCTTCATATGAATTATATCACATTTTTTGCTTAATTGTATTTTTGGAATAAACATAGTTATTTTTCCTTCTGTCAGTAAACTGTTTTTGTTACAAACCGTATAAATAAGCGATGAGAAATAAGGCAAAATTTGTGTTATCTCCAACCTTTGTTGGAAATAAACCAAACTCAGATTTAAAATTGTGTTATTTCACCAAACAATGAATGACATTTCAATTAATTTTTTTCCAGCACCTTAAGAAAAAGTTTCTTATGAGCAGTATATTTTGGCTTTGATTTTTTGTTATTATATTAGAGGAGCTTACGTGGTATTACGATAAATGATGGTTTAATGATTTTGTACATTTGTAACATGTGGTACATGCTACTAATGAATATTAATTGTCAAAGTATATATTTTAAGAGGATGATTTTATATTGAGATGCTTGCTTTGATCTGCATTTAATAAGTCTTCAAATCGTCGCCTTTTCCCCTCGTTTTTTTTTTATATATTTATCGTGAACTTTGATTGAGTACATCTTTTTTTTGCACAGTTTTGCACACTAAATCTGTGCATTGAGGGTAAAAAGGGACTTATTTAAAGTATATGGACGTAGGTTTTGTTTGCATTCGTTTGCCTTCCCATTCGAAAATTGCAATTTACGTGACCATCTTTTTAAGTAGATTTCAGTACTACTGATAAGTATTCGATAATGCAGTTTAAATGTATTTACATAATTTTTATCCAAACCTTGGAGGACGTACAGTGGTCAAGAATTGTAAAAACCCATAAGCGCATGTGTTCAAAAGGCAAGTCGGTTAAAACATAAATTTTCATTCTTGTTACGTGTAAAGAATAACTTAGAGGAACTAGAAGTGAAGTGACACTTCTATAAGATAATTTCAAGATCAAAAAGTTACATGTGTTTAACACAAGTATGTCAGCAATCCTTCTGGTAAAACAGTAGAGCTTCCTACCGAGGTAGCGCACATGCTTGCTCACACAGAACCAGAAGATTCTGGCAGCTTGGAAGCCTTGTATTGTATTGACATACTGACAAAATATTGTTTAACCAAACAAGTAATTAAACAATCGACACCAAAAATACTGTTAAGAATTTTGTTATGATTAATTTAGAAAAAAAAAAAGAAAATCGGCCAAGAAATAAGGAATATAGAGCGTCTTAAGGTACATGCGCGCGTTTTTTGGAATCCGGACCACTGTGCGCCATACAGAAATTTTAAGCCGCTCAGCCGCTCGCCGCTTTGCCGCTCATTGCGTGGCCTCGGCCTAACGCGGCGCTAGCGCCGAGCAAATGGAATTTTCATTTTTAACAGGTCGTTACGTATTAAAGTTATATGCAGAAGACGGAAAGAAAGAGAAAGGACAAAAAAGTGAACCAGGGAGCGAGAGGAAATTAGAAAACGTAAAAAATTACGCCCCATTGATTTGGGGATAGCGCGCGCTGACACTCGTTGTCAATGGAAAACGCAACGCTTAGCGCCCCAATTTTGGGACGCCAGCATGGCAAGCAGCGCAGCCAATCAAGTGTCGAAACGATGAAGTGGGATTGTAATGAGCTTTAAAATGTAAAATTAAAAGTCACTAGTATTTTTAATGCAACCTTGCCAACAGCAGTGTTTTCTGCATACATTTGCATCCAGAACCCTCTTGGCTCCCTTCGTAGTATTTAATAGTCAAAGTGCTGTCTTCACTCAAGAATGGTAGAATACAAGATCGCGCCGATTGCAGCAGAATTCGTGAGAGTAATTTTGGCGTGACGTCACCGTAGACTTGACAACTGAGAGTGGCAAATAAAACTGCTCTCTAGTGATGTGCTGAATTGTCGGTACCCAATACTTAAAAAAGCTTTTGGTATCCAATACTTCCTTATCGATACCAGATACGTGTTGAAAAATATTTCATATCATACGTCAACAAAACCGACACCAATTCGAAAATTGTCGCTAACTGGTTGCAGAATCTGTCGCTAAATGGGTACAGAATCTGCCTACAAAAATGATATCGTCCGATTCAGCTGGAACAAAAATGCTTCAAACAAGTAAGAGTTTCTCTGTATTATGGCATCGAACCGACATATATACATCTTTTATTTGAATCAGTATTAAAAGCTCTATTGGCTCCTACATTCGGGTTTTGATAGGCGAGTCTCCCCTGAACCGTTTTTTCCATATTTTGGGCCATGTGCGCTTTTTTTTCGAAACCTAAATGTTTCGGTATCGAGTATCGAGAGTATTGGATACTTAAAAGTATTGACTCAGCACATCTGCACATCTGTTATCTTCGCAGCGTCATCCAATACGGATTTTTAATCTAGTGGCGGCATCTTTCTAGTCGCCAGGGAATACCGACGGATCATACAGTGCCTTCTCGTAACGTTTTTTTGCCTTTTGCTTCATCCTACTCATGGCTCCTTTCGTTTTTCCAACCACTGCAATTATCCAAACACTTGCTCCATTTCAAACCAGTTTTCTGTACAAATTTGCTGATGGCTTTAAAAATTTCTTCTTCGATTTGCATTGCGAATGGGTACCTCACTAACACTGGAGGAACATTAAGTCCCACCACGTCGGTACTTTCGTCAAGTTGCAAACTAAAAAATTCACAAATTTTCTAACTTTTTATAAGTTCGTTTTCGACTTCCTCTAAAATCGTGTTGATTCGCTCTTTCGCTCTTGTTACGAGAACAGCCTAGCCAGAAAAAAATCTGAAAATTAATCCGAAAACGAGAAAAAATTTGGATGAAACGCGGATTAAATAGGTCTACAAAAGTACCGAAAATTGTTGTGAAAACGGTACGTTTTCGTCTATTTTTTCTGATATTTTTCTGATTCAATTTTTCGTTAACAAAACTTACTGGGGAACTAAGCTTAAGAGCGAAATACAAGCGGCTTGACAAACCAAGCGAAACATTCCTTTGATGCAAGCCATTTGTGTTTTGTATGTGGTTTGACGAGCCGCTGTAGGAAATTTTAATAAAAATAAAATTTTTTTGATTTTTTGGCCGCCATGTTGAAGTTTGAACTAACCGCTTGCGTTGTGTATGGAAAGTTTAAAGAATTTTCCCGCACCACTAGTATACTCTAGCCATTAGTGGCACCCTAGGTATACGGCACCCACTTTGGGAAAGCCTGGTCTAGCATATGACATAACCAGAACCACATAAATCCACAATTGAAATTTCGTACAAAAATTATAAAAATTCAACAAACTAGTAACAATTACACCCAAAAATTTTAAACTTTTTGTTCTAGGTATGCAGTTTAAATTTAAGTAGATAATGTGAAAATTGCAAGACGCTAGGAAACCGCGTTGATTTTTAATATTTTTTTTTTTGTGACGGTGCTAGGCATTTTCTTCTATATAAAAGGCACTATCCTAAGATAAAACGTGAGTGAATTGAATCCCAACTTGGCTTCTTATACTTTTTAATAACTAATCTTTAGTATGGACCACACTCCTCCTTTTCATATAAAAATTCGTACGTGTCCCACCTGTGACAAACGCCCCACCCGTGACAGAGGAATTTCGGTTTTTTTTTTGTTTAATAATAAAGCCATATTTGTTGTAGTTTTTGCTTTGTATTCGTGGTTCTATGTTTTATTATATGACTTCAAGTTTACACAGAAAAAAAAGCAGGTTCTTTTTTTTGTACCACCCGTGGCAGAAGAAATAACTCAGATTTTTTCCGTATAAAAGTAAGCAGGAATTTTTTCGTATTTTGTAATAACCATGATACAATAATTTTTAGAAGGTAGTTTCACTTCAAAATTTTTGACATAAACCGTGTCTGTGACAAACACGCAATGTGTCCACTGCTACGATGCATTTTTGCCACTGCTAATCACATGAATAAAAATCATAAAAATGAAAATATAACAGCAATATTTCTTGTTTATAATGGACTAGATCCGTCGCACACCACGGACTTTATCAGCCGCCAATTTAGATGTGCTCGCT